TTCACCAAATTTGAGTTTGAGAAATTTTTTTCATTATTCTACATTCTAAGTACCGAAAGACGCTATATCTATAAAAAAAACGATACAAAAAGGTGTTTTGCGAAATTGAAAGCAATTTCAAATCTGTTCAGTTTTTTTTTATACACCCTGTATAATGTATCGATCAATGCGAAACATCACCATCCCCTCCGGGCATTTGACTTCAAGTTGTCTCCTGGGAGTAGGGAATTGGACATTTCAGTGAATCAAGATGCCTTCCCAGGACATTGAACATGATTGATTTCCATTGGAAAGAAACAGTCATTACTTTTGATATGATCAGACAAAGAGCAAACATGTCTAAACCTATCGATATTGACAATAAGGAAATTCATTCTTTATCAACGTCAGAAACCTATCGTCAAGAAACTTTTAAAAGTTTCAGCTGAAGAAATCGCTTCTATCATCTCTCAGCTCGTTGTTGAAAATTGTAGCGGATGCATGACAGAACATCTGTCTCAAACGCATCATCAGTGTCTTACGATGGAAAGAGACGAACGGTTATGTCTATACTTTGATCATGCTCTAGAAAAGGCTTCGGAAACAAAAGTGATGGAAGCTTTTACGGAAAGTCTGAGCGATATGAAAGTATATGATTTCGAATTAATTGAGTATACGGCGGACGATTGGAAAACTATCTTTTGGGTGGTGCACAGGCGGGCATTAAAACACGTGATCTTTCAGTTATTGTAACCCCGGGGTTTTCCGAATATCGATCCGTTTTGGATTTCCTTTCCTACCGGAATTGAAAAATGTAACAATCTGAAAATCTATAAAAACTCTGTACTTTTCCTGGTTTTTGATTATTTGAAGCAAACATGGCTTGGAGAAACATTGTCACTCACTGGCTTTCGGACAAAATTATAACGCAAGAGGGAAATTTGGCAACTTTGGATTTGATGAAACTTCTGATAGAGAAGAATATAATACCAGCAGCACTTATTGACAATGCAACGTTGCACTCCATTATGTTGACACAAATCATATTGGAAACATTAACGGGTATAACGGTACCTCGGGCCTCCCAGGGGAACACCTTTACCTACCAAATGAAGGCTAGAGAAATGATGATGTGGGACATGGCTAGAAAAAACGAAAAGCAAGTCGAAGCACTGGAGAAAGAAACGGGGGTTTATTTGTATCAATGATAGTTTGTGGTAATGACCACAAACTGAACATTAGAAATTAACATTGAGATCAAACCATCTCGTAAAAATATTTATTTCAACTGTTATGTCTTAGTACCCAAAAGGTAATGTTCTGTAATCATTCATAATTACACGTTTATTATAAACTATTCTGTATTCCTTTTTCATACGCTTCGTTTCAATTTCTTTGGTTCGGGTATTTCTTGTGATTCTAAACGGAATGTCCGCAGACACTTGCCCCGTCACTTAACATTTAGCATGTAGATATTTAACACCTTCGTTCACCATACTTACCCGTTTGGATCGTGAGGTGTTAGCCCGGGTGACCGAGGGGTGGCCTGGAACGACTACTGGTACTACTGTTACTTGGACTCGGGTTAAGATCCATGCCAGTGGTATCTTGAGCAGACCACCAAGGGTGATGAACCATCACCCCTCCAAGGAACAGCCTTAACCAGCGTAATGCGAATGGCGACCCACCAGCGATACCATGCCGTATGGTAGAAACCGTAGCAAAGTGTGGGCCCCAAGCGGTACCAGACTGTATGGTACACAACGGAACGAATTACAATTTGCGACCCACCAGCGACCAACCGGTATGGTATAAAACGTAGCGAATTGTGGGCCACCAGCGGTACCAGACTGCATGGTATACAACGGAACGTACTACAAACTTGCGACCCACCAGCGGACCAAGCAATTGTAGGCCACAAGCGGTACCAGACTGTATGGTACTCAACGGAACGTATTATAAACTTGCGACCCACAAGCGAACCAAGCAAATTGTGGGCCACAAGCGGTACCAGACTGTATGGTACTCAACGGAACGTATTATAAACTTGCGACCCACAAGCGAACCAAGCAAATTGTGAGCCACAAGCGGTACCAGGCTGTATGGTACTCAACGGAACGTATTATAAGCTTGCGACCCACAAGCGAACCAAGCAAATTGTGGGCCACAAGCGGTACCAGACTGTATGGTACTCAACGGAACGTATTATAAACTTGCGACCCACAAGCGAACCAAG